TTTTTTTTCCCCTCCACTGACTACATTTAAAGATGTGAGAAAACAGAGTTTTATCAGTGAACTACTGGGAACGTTTAAAGTTGTTGCTAACTGTGAAGTCCAGATACCCTCTTCAGTGTTACTCTGCAAAGGCTGCTTCAATAAATTTTGACTTAATTATGCAGCCTACTGCAATTAACTGGAAACTGTTGCCGATACAGCTAGCCATAAGCAGTTTTATGGCTTCTGAAAATCAACTTAAAAAGTTTCAGTCTTTTTGAAAATAATTTTCTTGTATTTCTTAAATTTATTTTTTTAACTTAAAGTTCTCATCGAGGTACTGTATTCACTGTTCACTTTATTTGGTTAATTAGAAATATTATTAAACTCAAAGATAACTTGTATCCCTTTTTTGTTGATTGATTGCCTGCTAATGCAAAAAATTAATTGTCTTTGTTAATGAGTGGGTTTTTCTTTTGCCACTCCGAATTTTTTTTGCGAAAATTGCTGTGTTGATACTGATGATGAAACCGTTAAATGCCTTCCCTATTATAGTCTAATAGAAAATTTTTGATTTGCAGAAACACTTGCTTTATCAAGAGATGTCGTCGCCAGTAAAAGGACCTTCAATGCCAGGTTGATACTAAGCTTATAATTAATCATAAATCATTTCACTTTTTCTTCAAAAGACAACAGACTTATTAGCTGTAAAACATTTTTGTAAAGCTTTTTTCTTATTGTAAACCGAAACAATTCCACCGAGTTTTTATCTGCTATACTGTTCTACAGCTGGTGAAACGAGGGAAAGAAGGATTTCCCTAACTGAAATGCTTGGCCGTAGAACTTCAATCGATGAGGCTTATAAGAAATACAATACGTTCACAATTAATGGAGGTATTTCTTGAACTGATCGTGTAACTTATAATTTACATAGTAGAATTTTTTTTGCCTCAAAAGCTATTGATGTCTTTTGTCTGGTTGTACACAGGGAGAAGAAAGCTGTTAAGAGTTTTTGTTTGGATTTTATAGGTTAAAAATACTGCAAAAAAGCGCAACGAAGTTCTGTGGAACTTATTTATTTTTATTGTTGTTTGATCCTTCCACTTTTTCTTTTTTTTTTAACCACCAACACATGACTGAAGGAATTTTTCGTTTGGAGATAGAATTGGCACGTTTACGGCAGAAAAAAAAAAAGATATTTATGGCTTTTTGTAGAGAAAAAAAAACAATAAAATGAGAAACACAATGTTGAGATGTTGAAAAAAACAGCTTTCTCATTCTGGCTTTTTATGCTGTAATCATCTCCTTTTTACAGTTTATATCAGATTGTTAGGGCATCAGAAAGAATCTTTTCTTTGTTGTAAAAGTGCCTTTTTTGTAGATGGATTCCATCGTGAAAACTATGTCAAGCAACCAGAAAATAAACCGAAGCCGTTGTAAATTTGATGTACTTCTGGAACCCTTGCAGGATTTGACTAGAGCATAGTCGCTCCAATCTTGTTATTTTGTATTATTTGTTCCCTGTTTTTTTTCTTTATATGTTTATTATGAAGTTTTTATCAAGAGACTTCTAGATTTAAAAAAATTTATTAATACGGAGTTATTTCGTTTAGTGACCTGTGATTTTGGAGCACAAACATGGCTTCTTCGTAAGCCTCTCAAAAAACCATCTTTTTAAATTTAGCACACAGCGTACATTAACTCCCACATACTTTTTTCAAGAAGTCTCTATGCTGTACATGATATTTGCTCTTTTTTCCTTATAAATAGTTCCATTATTGTTATAATATTTTTTTGTTACGGTGCTGCTTATTCTGTATACCATATATGATTAAACAATAAAATACCAAATACTGGATCCTCTTTTGTCTTCCAATTTCTTAATAGGCGACAATCAATTCAGAATGGATCCTAAATCTCTTGTTATTTTTTGAAAAGCTCAAGTCATAAAATCGTAGATTCGTAATTTCCTAATCAAATGAAACTTTTCCATTTCAGCGTCACCAAAGAGTTTTGTAACGACATCTGCGAGCCAAGATGGCAGCGAGGAGAACCTAACCAACAAGTTAAATCCTAAGTTCCTTTTACAGCATGCTAATTGCGATACCCAGACGCTCGGTCTCGATATATCTACATTGGTTGGAGGATAAATACAGTCAGGATTTTTGTGACGGAAATGCACCAGAGCTCTTCAAGATTTTACTGTACACTTTTTAAAGGACGAGACTCTTTAAGTCATTACCCCTCACAACTTTGTACAAATATAAAATAGCACAGATAGGATAAATGATAACAAATTCTTATTCTTGTCAGTAAATTGGGATGTGAATGTCAGTTTAGGAATAATACACACAAAAAATATGAAGATAATTCGTTGTACTGAATAATGTGACACAAAAAAAGATAATTTTCAGAGTAATGTGCTGTGACTATATACACCTAACCTGCTCTTCTAAAAAGGTCATATATAAAAATATCAGAGTAGTTAATGAGTTGAAGTAAAATCGGATCAAGAGTCTAGTTTCATTAAAACTATTTGATACGCTCCTTCAAATATCGCCGAAATGAGAAAGGAACGAAGGGTTGGCCATCTCCCTCATAAAACTTGCTTTGAAACTCTACCCTAAAAATCTATTTTAAAGTAACAAAATATAGAAGTAAATGTTACTGCAAACTAGTAAATAGGTGCCTACCAGTGCAGGCGTAAAGCATGAAGAAAGGCAGACAGTCCTTCCATCATCACGAGTATTGCAAAAGTCAACACTGCGAAAAGCAAAAAGAATAGATAAATAAAAACTGAACCAGTGAAGCCGGAATATTTCAAGCACTGTCCAAACAGCATATACCACAGAACGTCGGAAAGCTCTAAAAAAATCTTGCAGTCGTCTCAATGCTATCATTTTCACGGTTCAAGGCAGAGTGAAGGTGAAATAAAAGATAATTATAGTTTTCTGAAGACTTCTTCAAAATGAACATACGTGAATGAGCTAGTGAAAGTGCCCACAACCGCAGATAAGAAGCTGTATGTGAAACGCATCCAAGTACAAACTCGGTCGTTCTTATAACCTGTTCAACTAATGTATCTGCATATTCCTGAAAATCCATACATGCAAATTGGCACCCAGCCCCCGTCAACTTAACCCCATTCCTTCACAGAGAGAACCGCACACATCAAAAACGACTTCTAATTTTGACACTAAACATTATTAGTTGATTTTCTGGTCTGTCAAACACTTCAGCCAGTGAAAACAGATACTTTGGAAAATCTTTTAGGCATATCTTGGGCATCACTATCAGTTCTACGTCTTTGTGAAGCTATAAATTCCAGACCGTCGTCTTCCACATTAATCCGAACTGCCTATAATAACGCTTAAATTCACAAACAACAAACTCATTGTAGCCGTAACATTAAACTTCTCATTATCACCTGCATAAACAATAAAAACATTTTCTTAACCGGATTTTCCGAGCCTGCAATATGACTCTTTTCATGTCGGAATGGAATGGCGTAACATAATAGTTTTCCGAGCAACATGGCTGGGATGCACAAAACAGCACAAGCAACCAGAGACGTCTCTACCATGTACTTGAAAAAAAAGACGGCTCAAAAGATTTATAATTAACATGAAAAGGCTCAGATAATTGCAATTGAAAGTGAGAAATGCTACACACCTGATATGGATACCATTGTGACAAGAAACAACGATCCAAAACTTCTGATGAATTACTGTTGGCCAGGAAACCAATAGGTCGTTCCTTTAACATAAACATGTTGACAAGCCCAGCCAACAGTGACGGTGCACAAGTTGGGCCTAAGCAGGAACAAATGTCACCCTGTTTAACTGAGGTACTTTATCTGCGAAAAATACTCATAAACGGTTTAAATGTAATCTCAAATTTGAGGCACTTCTTAAATTCCGCTCGGTCAGGCGGATGAGAAATTTAGGTACCTGGATAAAATTGACCAAAAACTGTGCCACTGTGAACGGAAAAATAAATCCATTTCACTATAATCTGAATGCACAAATAAGCAAATATGGATAAAATAAATATCAGACGGGGAAGAAATATAGTAAAAATATCGACGTAAGAACCGAAATGCCTGTAATAGATAACAGCTGACTAAGAAAAATTCAAATGACAATGAGAGAAAATTTTTATAAGATTGCAAAAAATATGGTTTATAATGTCACTGCACCCACCAAAAATTACAGTAGCTGAGCAGAATTCCGAAAATCATCTGCAAAACCCCGATAATAATAGACACCTTCATCTTCATCGAGTTCAAAAAATTTAAGCGATTTTCAGCAAGACTCCATATTGGATCTACACCAAACAAATACGGTCTCTAAAAAACTTAGCTGAAAAGTGTTATCTTAAAAGTGTCAAGAAGAGGACACATTTATTGTTCAAAATAATGAGCAATTATGAACAATTTTATTTAGCCACTTTCAGTGAGAAATTTTTTTGAACAGACTTTATTTCTTTCATAAGTGTACCTCCGTCCTATAAGTCACTTTAGGGTCGAATGTCTTCAGCATAGGTTTACCGAAAGCTGCGGATTCTTCAGTCCATTTATCAATCAATGAACGACTGAACAGCAAAATTCTTCTCAACAATTCTTCCAGCTTGGAAAATTAGCTCTTAAACAAGCAGTACTTACTTGTATGGGTTTCGCCATGCTGAACCAAAAAAATTAGTGGACTTCGCGAAAACATCATTATACAATAAACCTGTATACATCGAAAACAATCCCATTAGTATCATGAGGTATCTTAAATGAACAAGTTAACGATAGAGCGGGTTCGAAAACTGTCTTTTAGAAGCACAAAAGAAGGATTAACGAGCGAGTCTCTCGCGGCGGAAGAGCAACAGTTTTATCGGCAGGACGAATAAAATGGCGAAAAAAAGTAAAATTTGCCTTCCACCGTAGAACATGTTGAAGATTTCGCTTTTTACTTTTTTGTGCTCTATCTTCCGCTCATTCAGAACGAGAAATAATCCGAAGAGAAACATTAGAAGACCATGGCCAACATCCCCAAACATTACAGCAAACAGAAATGGAAATGTAATAATTGTGAAAGGAGCTGAAAACACTTTACTTTACACCGAAAATTTTAAAAAATAGTTTTTTCGCTTAATGCGATTTCATGAAAAATATCGTTTTTTGATACAGAATGAATAGTTAGCTTTAATATTTGACTAAGAAACTACTGATAATACATCAATTTAAGTCCAAATCCTTTTTTCGAAGGTTAAGTATGCTTTAAAGTAAACAGCGTTTAAGGTTACCGGGATTAACCTCTCTGTAAGTTGCCACTCCATATGCGTCGACCACCAGTTGAAATACTTCAGTAAATTTGTTAGTCACGTTGTCAGTTGGTGGTTTATCAGCAGTTTCTATTAAGTTAATCATCGGAGTCACTGAAGAGTTACTCTTTTCCTAAATCTGTCACGCTTTACTTTCTGTGTAGTTTTATTCAAACTGAAGAAACCAAGTTACTAAGCAAGAAACTTACAGCTCCTTTATCCAATGCTTTTCGAATACTACTGAGCTGCTTAACTGGCACCCAACCTTCCATAACAAAAAATTTTCTATCTGCTTCAAAAATGAACATATTTAGTGTGTGGTAAATAGCAGTGCGGAGATGTACTTCCTTTTGCCAGTTTCTTAGATTAGCTGCTGCCTCTCTCATTACCTAAATACTGTAACTAAAAATCCACGGTAAGACGTGCCTAAAAAGACTCAAAATAGAAAACTTATTTCTACTTAGAATATTTCGAGATGAAGTAAAGTAAGAATACAACAGATCTAAGAACTTAATATCATTTAATCGCTTACTAACCCTGCGTCGTTGGAGATTAGTCGACTGAATGACCACCCAAAGGTCATTCAATCTTCTGATTACGTTCTCGCACATAGTTTTTCTTTCTCGAGACGTTTTCGGACAAGGATACTGCCTTGCTTTAAATCTGGAAGATGTAGTTTACTTCCAAGAGAAAGGATTGTAAAGGTTTAGAAAGTTATAACTTACCCGTCGCAAACTTTGTCGATAATTTCCTTCAAAAACTGTCCTTTGAAAAACACAATAAACACGCACTTCCTATCAGACGTGCCCTGAAAGTAGCAGTTAAGTGCAGTTTAGGTCACTTTCTTCATCACTGCTA